ATATATATATATATGTGGAGAATGTTAATGTACTCCCACCTATTTTTTAGTGGGAGTATGTTAGCAACCTACACTAAAATTTTAGGACAAAAAAATCACTCATTTCTTTTGATTTGGTTAATTCGTACAAAGGATATTATAGTAATTTAATTTGATTTTAAATAAAAATAAAATATTTTCTCTCTCTTATTAATTTCATTCTCCAATTCATTTATTTTTTTTATTAATTAATTTTTATTTGTTCAGAGAGAGAGGGGAGACATCATGACAGATGAGAGAGAAATGAGTTAAAGAAAGAATTTAATAGGAGAAAGATATATAAGTTAGAGAAAGAATTTAATAAAAAAGATAAATGAGTTGGAGAAGAAATTTAATAAGAGAGAGAAATGACTTAGAGAATGAAGTTAATAAGAGAAAGAAAATCTTTTTTTTATTATTTAAAATTAAATTAAATTACTATAATATCTTTTATACCAATTAACCAAATGAAAATAAATGAATGATTTTTTTGTCCTAAAATTTTAGTGTAGGTTGCTAACATACTCTCACTAAAAAATAAGTGGGAGTACATTAACATTCCCCTATATATATATATGTATTACATAATCAACCCATTGAGGACTTTAAATAATATGCACTATGTTTTCAACTTTGTAACTAACATTGTTCAAAAAAAAAAAAAAAACAAGATAAAATATTTATCTTATGACCACAAACAACTCCTACAACATTTCTGAACATATGTATCAAAAATCTTTTATTATGAGATTTAATTGGTATGAATAATATAATGTATGAGGTTGTAATTTTATTCTCAAAAAAGATTTTTTATACATACAAAAAAGACTTTTTGACCACATTGAGGAGGCCTTCTAATATGAAGTATATGAGGTCATGGGTCATTCATGAGACACCAAAATTATCAGTAATAGCAAGTTTTTTAACTTATTTAAAATTATAAAATAGTCCTTATATTATATGCGGAGGCACTATGGAGGCGCAGTGGCAGCGGAGGCACGGTGGCAGTAGAGGTGTCGTCTGCTTCCATGGTGGTGACAGCGGAGGTGTGACCTCTTTCGTGTGGTAGCAGCGGAGGCACGACCTCCTTCGCCCAGTGACAGCGCAGAGGCGCGAGCTCCTTCAAGTGATGGCAGCGGAAACGCGACTTCATTCTCACAATAGCAGCGGAGGTGCGGCTTCCTTCACACGGTGGCAGCAAGGTGGCAGCGGAAGCACAACCTCCTTCGCGCGGTGGCAGTGGAAGCGCGACTTCGTTCGCGTGGTGGCGCGACCTCATTCTTCACGTGTGGCAACGGAAGCGCAGGCTCCTCCTCCTCGACGCCACCGGCCTCATGTCCCTCCTCTGCCGCTACTTCCCCCTCCCTGTCATCCGTGGCATTCAACACTCCAAAGGCCTCTCCTTCGCCTTCTCCACCATCAACTACATCCATTATGACTAAAACATAGCCACCTCTAAATTCGGCCCTTCCCGCCCCTGGCTCGCCCTCGACAGCCTCGTCGTCGCACTCGTTGACGTCGTCTTTCTCTTCTCACCACCTGTCGGCGATCAAAACAGTAACCCTAAACAGGGACTAATATGCAAAATACAAAAATTTTCTTTTCCAAGTTATGGATAAGAAATTTGAATTCTTGATTATTATATTATTAAATCCAACGGTTAAAAATAATGTTTCATCCATGTACCACATTTTATACTGCTTCATGTTAGAATTTTCCCACATTGAGGGAAGTTTATAAAACTTATTACTAAAGTGATGTTGTTTTGAAATAATTCCTCATTTTGAAGTAGTTAATAATAGTATTGCTAATCAACTCAAAGATACTCTTGCCACATCATTTTACCTTTTTTATAAATTTTTTCACTTGAAAATGAAATTAGTTGAGACACATAATGTTGATGTAACCAATTGCAACAAAGAGTGTTATTAATTATAGTGTCTGTCAATTTCTAAACTAGTACTTGCATAGAGAGAGGGTATATAACGTGGATTAGCTACAATCATTGGGTGAATTGCAACACAAATTTAAAAATATTGGCTTCCCGCTATTACTTATAGACACAAATTAAAAAAAAAATAACAAAATAATGTCAATATCTCCCTTGCGACAACGAAAGAATTCGCTTAAAAAACAATTTTCGTGCCATTACAATATAAAAAAAAAGTGTTACAATGGATCAAATATATAATATATATAGAGAGAGAAGAGAGATCTTTTTATTTTAGGGATAAGTATATGTAACCTCACTTTTGTAATAAATTTTATAAATTCCCCCAATGTGGTCAAAAAACATACAAAAAAAGGTATCATTGAATCTTTTGTTTAGATTAATTTAATAGAATAAAACTTAATGAATTTTTTTTCCTTCATCAAATGATTCTCTTTTTCTTTTCTTTTTTTACTTTCAAATTGGGCATGTAATGGCTACTAAAGAATTGGCTATGTAATAGAATTAATTTATAGTTTTAGAGTAAATTGTATTTTGTTCCTTATAATGTCTAATCCATAACTTTAGTCTTCTCATTTTATAAAATATGCAATTTTGAGATCCTTACAATGTTCATTCATTCATGGTTGTCAATCTCTAGTGATAACTCATAAACTCGTAGAGTTTACGAGATTAGGATAACTTACCTGTATAACTCGAAAGTAAACTCGTTTTTGAGTAATATCGGTGATCTCGTGTAATATTACGAGATTAATGATCACATTTTTTCTCCAAATAAACAAAACGCTCATTTTGGGTTAGGGCTAAGAATTAGAGCTGTCAAAGTGGGCCGGGACCCGTGGGCCAACCTAGCCCACCTTGAAAACGGGCCGGGCCGGGCAAAAAAAAATTGAAGTTTTATAGTAGGTGGGTATATTTCAACCCGGCCCACTTTGACCCGGCCCACCCGGGCTAAACCCGTTGTGGGCCGGGTGGCCCACCAACCCACCATTTTTTTTTTCAATAAAAATTTGAATATGATTTGTAGTTTATTTTGTATGATGATATATTGAAAATTTTTATTTTAAACTTTTATCATGATTTGTATTTAATTTTGTATGATGAATTATGACTTATAACTATTAATGATGTTAATTTTATGACTATTATGTTAATTTATAATTAATTTAAAATTTTGAATTTTGTTAATAATTTTTTTTTAATTTTTGGTGGGCTGGTGGGCTGGCCCGTATAACCCACCAACCCGTGGTGGGCCGGGCCGGGCCAAATTTTTTTTGAAAAAATTACAAGTGGGCCGGGTTGGGTTGGCTCGTTTTTAAAGTGGGTCAAGGTGGGCCGGCCCACATGGGCCGGGTTGGCCCGTTTTGACAGCTCTACTAAGAATTGACTTTCATTTCACTCTCGAATAATCTCCTCTGCGGCTTCGCTGTCTTCTCCATGGCAAAGGCAAACTATCGTGCGTTCTCCTCTACGAACGACCACTCTTCTCCTCCACGAAGGTGTGAATCATCTTCTCCTCTGTGCGCGAACCATCGTTCTCCTCTGCGCCACGAACCACTTTCTCCATGCGCGATTGTTTGTCTTCTCCCTTGCGAGTCACACAGCTTCTTGAGGCAGTTCTCCGGTAGCATCACGACACCTCCTCGAGGTTGTTCCGAAAGCAATGCGAGTACGCAATCCGCGACTCCGATTAGGGTTTTTACTTTTTTTTTGTGATTCATTATTAACTTGCTTCTGGTTGCGACTCCGACTATCGTTTCTAATTGTCTATAGTGATTTTTACTATAATCATGTATGGGACTAGATGAAATTCTGCTGATAGTGGATCGGGTGCAGCCTCCTTTGTTGCTAGAAATAGAAATGTTCCAAGAAACAGATAAGATATTAAGTAGAAGCATGGGACAAATGTTATTTCTATATTTTTATAATTTTTTTATTAAGTAATCTTTTACAAATTTACGATATGAATTTACGGAACCTTCACGAGATTACCTAAACTCTCGAGATTGACAACTAGAGCTGTCAAAACGGGCTACCCGGCCCGGCCCGGCCCACCGCTGGTTGGTCATTTGGTGGGCCAACCCAACCCGACTCATTTATCAGTGAGCTCAAAAAAATCGAGCCCGACTCGGCCCACCACGGGTTGGCTTACCTTTAAAATTTTTTTTTTCTTCTTAATATACAACTAAAGCCCAAAAATTTAAACTTATTTTAAAAATCTGAGATTCTTAATTAAGACATCCTTAAATGAATTATTCATCCCAAACATTAAATGATAATTTTAAATACAATCAAATCAAATCAAAATAATCTCAAATAGATAAATATAATCCAAAATTATCTTAAACTTCAAATACAATCCAAAATCACAAAAATTACAAATCACAATCCAACATTAAATTATTATTGTCTCATGTTGGACTGCTCCATGACCTAATAATTATTGTATTTTTTCAAAAAAAAGTTAATCACGGGTTGGTGGTGAGCCGGGTTCAAATTTGACCCGTATTAAAATTTTCAAATTTTTTTTAACCCAACCCGGCTCGAACCCGTGGTGAGCTGGGTTGGCTCGCCGGGTCAAGCCCATTTTGACAGCTCTATTGACAACCTTGCATCCATTGATTATTAATTTTGTAACAATAATCATGATCTTACATTAAATAATATGACAATTAATGCTTAATAATATACCGACCAGAGTCCATACCATACCATGTTGGTTAGAGAATATTTTTGTAATACATATTGACCGCATTCTATACCTTTTTATTTATTTGGTTAGTTTAAGCACATCATCTAGCTCAGGTTACAACCTATGTGTGCTTTGAATTTCATAGGCTTCAGACTTTAAATTCAGAATAAATCCACCTAATAGCGTGCAACAAGTTTAAATTATATAAGCTTTTAACTTTCATGTTGCTTTGGAATTTCAAGGGCAATACAATGCAAGTAGTCGTCCCGACAACCAACAAAAATCCTACCACCAATCATTAAAGGTGAAGAGAATATATCCCCTGCCAAGTTTAGCCTTGCAAATTCTTGCACATCCCGTCTTTGTTGATTTGCATCTTTGGAGAGATTCGCGTTCACTCGAAGAAGGTTTATGCCTCCAGAACTGGAACAAATGCAAATTAACCTGAGAAAAGAAAAGAAAAAAGTTTGAAGCTGATAGCTGGTAAATTGCTCTAGCTCTTTTAATTAAGAAAACCAAGTTAACCTGTCTGAAGTGGGAGAGGCGTCAGATTCCAGCTGCAAGTGCTCGTCAACATAAGCAGATGCAGTAATTGGATCTCCAACATTGTATTCCCATTGTAGGTCCCCCTCATCCTGGTGATAATCCAACATAAAGAACAGAACAAATATTAACCTAAAGGAATCATTTTGAACACTGCACATTCTTACTCCCCCTTCACACGTCTAAGAATAGTTCTTTAGATATAGTCAAACACAAAATGACTCCTAATTGTATTTTTTTACATATGAATAGATCTTAGAATAAATTCACCTTATTCCAAGTGTTAAACAAGAAAACTTCTACAAAGTTTACTAATATTATTCAAAATAAGTGAATGAACATTCATATTAGTTACGGTTTAGGACAATTTTGTGCGTGCTTTAAAGTGCTAGCGCATAGAATAGATGTTTGTCCAATACACACGGTAAACTGCATATTTTAAACTGTCAGATTTAAGGCATCATCGATTGTACAATATTTTATTAATGGTACCACAGACAACTACTCAAAGGCAGAGGGAATATTACTTTTGCAAGACTTGAACGGATACATCATACATGTCCATCAACAGCTTGAATAATTCAGCGAGATACTATTTTATAATCCTCAAAATGACCAAACTTTGTGATAAGAACCTTATTATCACTTTGTATTAATTAGCATTTACGAATACTACAGGTCACTCTCTAGTCAGCAATTATCAGCATCAGGTGGATATGTGGATTCATCTCTATTCTTTCTTTTGAAAAAAGAGAGGTAGGAGTGGAGCGCACAACAGTCGCTAGCAATAAAAGATTTAAAGATATTGTCTCCTAGCCTGATCTCGTCAACTGAAAATACATACTGTATTATTCTGTAAGATTAAAGCTACGAATTATGAAACACAACACAAAATGAATTGAAGCATTGTCAAAAAGGGAAGGGGGAGGGAGAAACACTGCTAATACCAAGCAGCCAATAAACAGATCCAGCAATTAACTTCGATCTTAGATAGGGAATATAGATATTGTAAAGTTAAAAGGTTGCTAGATATGAATCTAATACAGAAAAAATTAAAATACACCAAAAAGCTGATAGAAGAGAAAAAGGAAACAAGTTTATTCTGTCAGTTCTCACCAGTTTGAACGAGTACACACTTCCGCTCCTGGAGCATACAAGCACCTAAGGTGGAATAAATAAAACAATTACTATCATAAATAAATCTTTCACTGGTTATTTAGAGAATAAGAGTCATTGTAATATGTTTCCCCTGATATCTGTATTGTATACTAATATGAAGGAGACTTCATAAAGATATTAATATCCTTTACTATAAGTTATTACTAATTTGGTAAACTAATTGAGTTAACTTATCTCCTTATTAGTTTAGTTATTACAAATTTACTATACTGTATCTGTTAGACCTCAGGATCCTAAACAGAAACCAGCATAAACTCTCGCAATCTTTTATTGATTTTGACAAAAGGGTGTTAGGAGGCAAGTGGAAAAAGAATTAACTATTTAGTATATGGCTAAGTAAAATCAGTGGACAGATTGATGTACCTCATGAGGAAGAACAGAAGGTATGCATGGCCCGGCAAATATTGGACCATCAGTAGTTTTCTGAGCAAAATTCATTAAAAAAATCATGTAAATATTCCTTCCATCCGGGAATATAATTTAGGATTGCAACCATAATGAGGTCCATAATTCCTACCTTCCAAACAATGGATCCATTTGGATCCAATGCAAGAACATGGCCATCCACCAAGCAACATATTACTGCAACCAACAGGAATAATTAGAAAGACAAAGGAATAAGCATACTTTAATAGGACAAAAATTAATACAGGACATAAATAATTAGAAAGACATACAATATAATCAAGAGGCAGAGTAACAATACATACCAGTTCCATTGTGGGTGACAGCTAGAGAAGCAAACACAGGGACTTCTAATTCATGTAGCCACAATATATTAAATGGAGAAGCCTGGATTCAGTAAAGGATTATTTCAGTCTGACTTAGGCTAATAGCTCAATTGACTCGAACATGCTGGCGACTTCAACATTCAGCAACATTAAAAGATATATACATCTAATGTTCATCAAATTACGTATTAATCTCTCGGGTCAAAGCTAAACAACATCATTACATCAATCATTTACTTTTTATACTTTTTCTGGTTCATTCTAATTAAATCATAAAAAAGCAATGCAAAAGCAAACGTGCCTATTTATACCAGATTTGCTATAAATCAAAGTAGATGAAATAGCTCAAGTTGTGAACACCAGGCAAGCAACAAAATTCTAATTCATTAATATGTCAGTACGCAAGTCAGTCAAAGTGTTGAACGTTAGTTTGACTGTTTAGCACATTAGTTATCCTGTAAAAAGGCAAGCTATGAGGTTTTGGTAGAGTTCTCTTTTAACCACTACCTTTAGTTGATAAGTTGTCTCTATTCTCCCAATGTAACTCTGGTCACGAAAAACTCCTTGCTTTTCTTTTATTCTTTTTCTCTTTGTTCTTCCCTCTCGAATCTTTTAATAATAAACAGTTTGCAAGACAAACATTAAATAAAACTCTTTGTTTCTGACCTTTTATTCTTGGGATCTTTCTTGTATGGGTTTTTAATAACTTTCATTGCAATAAAGAAATAAAAATTATGCACGTATATTAATTGATTTATGAATTTATCATACCGATATCGATATAGCTGTTATACGACCACTGGTAGAAGCCACATAAAGCAAGCCATGAGCCTACATGAAGAATTAATAAGAACTCGATAGTAATTTTAACTAATCTACATGCATGTGTTGTGACTTTTAGAAGGGAAGTTCACCTCATCAATTGCAGGTGACCCATATATACTGCCTCCACATGGTAGCTTGTACACACAACAGTGTTTTTTGTAGTCAAGAGCATATAAGTTGTGATCATGAGAGCCACACCTATATTAACATTAAACCATGCTGAAAACACATAATTTCCAATCAAGCTAAATCATGTAACGTAGCTTTTTAACATATATCTGGGACTTTCTGACAATAAGACACATTGGAACATGTAGTATTTGACATACTATTAAACTCTTTTAACATGAACTCATGCAGTCAGAAGTTCCACCCTTGCTTCTAGTCTAATAACTTTAGTTTTTGTACAAGGTGGTGTTTAGATTCTAAATATGGTTACAACTTACATATACATCTAATGCACAAGGATTACTAATTTTAGTTATTATACATTATTAGTAATAACATATAATCATTATTTATTAGAAACGTAATATTTTTAGAGAAGAAAGAGGAACAGTATTACAGGGGACAGAAGTATAAGATATCTTCCAAAATAGAAAAGTCAAGAAAGAAGTATCATGAAAAAATAATTGATGCAGCAAATCCCAATATGCAAACTCATCAGAAATGGCAACTCTTTCAAATAGCCATGCATAGAGCAGACAAGAGAAGCACATTCTACAGGAAATTTATTCCTGTGGAAACTCAATTCCTGAAAGTCTTATATTAAGTCTTAAACCATACATCAAAATCCTTAACTTCGATAAGAAGTTTCTGGAGAATCCTTCAACCCTTAAATTTTTCCAGGTTTGACAGCTTGTATTGTAGCAAAGGGTGTGTGAGAACTTTTTTTCCATGGGAATAGAAGTTGCTCAATCAGGACATTTATTAAGTCTTGTTTTTTAATTAAATATAAAAAGGCATATTTTATTTTTTTTGATCCATCAGAATTACAGTGACAAAATCCAAATTCGAACCTAAGACCATGTGCATACCACTTTAACCTTCCATTAACTTAAAAAAAATATATTAACATAGATGTGGTGGCAATTGGCAAAGGAAAATATCATACACCGATTGGTAATGTGTGACATGTATCTTGGTAAAAGTAATTACAGCCCTACAATGTAAATACCACTTCATCTCAACCCATTAGCATGCCTTGTGTCCTAAAACGTGGGAAAAAAATTTATTGGAATCATTTCACAAGGAACAAAGTTAGAAATTCCAGTATGCCAGTTGAACTTCAACCCTCACGATTATGTCCAGTATTTAATATAAAACTGAGCAGAGGTCAACCCATTAGCATGCATTGTGTCCTAAAACGAGAGAAAAAAATTTATTGGAATCATTTCACAAGGAACAAATTTAGAAATTTCACAACCTATTTTAATACTGGACTCCAACCTACACTATTATGTCCAGTATTAATAAAAGACTGAGCAGAGGTCAAAGTAAAAAAAAATATGTCAACCTATAACCATTTCTGAATTCTAGTCTCGTATACACCACTCCTCAACTATCCAAATGTCAAAAATAGTAAAGATTGAATTATACAAACCAACAAGAGTTCTATGTAGAATGAAGATATTAGATTCTCTGTTATTGAAAAAAGTTACTGATTTCAGCTATACTTATGGTAGATGCTCCTATGTGAGTAAAAGCAAATGGGAGATCATAGATTATAACAAACTTGCATTCGTGGCAATAAGTGTGGGAAGTGGAAGTCTAGGCCTAACTCAACCCCAGAAGTTAGCTTATGAAGTGAGGATTGCTCAAGCCATTATAAGCTCTTTTTCTACCATATCTATAGTTGATGTGGGATTTTGACAGAAAGTATTGATTCTGCGTGGGATACAAGGGAGAATAGGGAAAAGGAAAGGATACACAATCATTTGAGTAGTTGTGACAGGGCAGAAAAGTTTTCCTTCTCGTGACTTGTTCTCATTCATTTTCAGTTCTTATTTACACATATAACATATTACCTTTGTAATCAGAGCACTTCCCTCTAAACATTTCTTTGTTAAGCCGAGGTAAATTCAGTTCCTATCAACTTAACACAAACTCTCAAATACTTGGATTAAATATTGAACCATAGAGTATGCATGATAACTTAACAATACAGAAAGAAGCATAAAAAATTACCAGATCAATTGTCTGCATGTGTCTACAACTGGCTGTGATTTTACCTTCATGAGTTCAAAAACATAATTATAAATAGACCACAAAAAGAAGAAAGAGAAGGGAAGGGAGGAGACTATAATGAAGTAAAATAACAAACAAACAAACAATAACACCCCTATCCCATTAGGTGAATAATGAAGTCAGATAAACGAGAAAAAAAAAAAAATAGAGATAAACAAGGGTAGGTACAACATGGGGAGGATGAGACATCCTCCAAAATCTTTTTTTATCACCCTGTTTAGCGTCCAAACAGTAGAGTGCCTCTGTCTCATTTCCAACCACTGATCACAGAATTCCAGCAGTGTTTCTGGCCACTCCATGTTCACTTATAAGTAATAGCAAAGCTCAATTTCAGCCTCTTATGTCTCTGTTCTTGTTTTTTCCTATGTTGTGCTCTTTCCTCACACTTCATAGCCCCTAACTTGTCTCTACCTTTTTTTTGTTTTTTTAACTCCTTTGTCTCTGTTCAAATATATAAGTTTCTGATTTTTTATATTAATTCCATTTTTTTTATTTCATTCCTATGCTGAATGCTCTCATGCTCTTAGCTTCCATGACATCTTGCATTGTGTGTTTAAATGTAGACTTTATAAGTTTTAAATATTAATTATGAACATGTCTTAAAATTGTGTGTTTTGTGATTTTTGAGCATTTACATGTGTATAGTATAAACTAATAATCTTATATCTATAGTCTTGAGGATAGTTTCCTTCCTGCTCCCTGCTGTCTTTCTATATATTTTGGGTTCAGCTGCCCTGTCACAATTGGGAATTGATAAAAATGGAGTATGGTCTGTAACATATTCTATCGTGGTTAGAAAAAGGCAAAAACCTTGATAAAAGAAAGCAGACACCACATAAAACCACAAATGGAATTTTATTGTGTTAAAGTTAGATACCTCACCGGAAGTTTGGAAAATCCAACAGATCTGTCCATTCAAAAAATCAAGGAAATATATTTTTCCCATGTAACATCCAACAACAACCTAAAGAAATGTCATCTGTTAGAACAAATGGATAGAATTTTATAACCTTATTGAGCTAGAATAACTTAATATATTAACAATTGAAAATCAACCTGGGAAAAATCACAAACAATTGCTGCTGTACATTCAATGCGGCCTTCTAGTTTGATCTCCCACTGGACAGAACCACTGAACCAATTATTAAGTAGCAGCTTAGTAGAGCTAGAACTGAAAATAGAAACCAAAAAACTTCTCTATATGGTTCTAGCATCAATAGTGAAAGCCACTGCTATGGGGAAATACAATGTTAACCTGGCTGAAGTTCCTACTTATATAAAAGCAAATTAGCATTAAAGAAATTAAAGGGACATAACAAAAAATGTATGTACAATTCAAGCACTGATGTAGTTTTAGGCAACAGGAATGATGCAAAATGGACCGAGATGTCTGTTCTTGTTCAATTCAAGTGAAATATGATATTGTAATTTTGTTCTGCATCATCACTAATTAGTTTCCTTGTTCCTTTGGTAAAAGAATTGTTATCATATTGATATTGATTCTTTTAACAAAAGCTAGGTCATCAAGATTCTAGGTGTTTATACTTTGTATGTTATCCTGATAGAACACTAATTAATAAACTATAAAATATAATACTGAACACAAATCACACACAATTCAGCAATATTCTTTGTCCCCAGACAAAAGTCTCCTTTAGAATATTCTCTGTCCACAAACTTCAAATAACAACACACATGTGCAGTTATACGCCTTGTTATGATACACTTGTGAGATATAATCCTAAATTCCTAATACATAATTGTCATTAGTTATTTTCTATGAATAACTACCATCATGCAGTTTCTTATACAGAACTAATACATTGTTGTTAATATAGTACAAGTTATTTTCTATCACATATACTCCTAATAATTATTGGCTCCAATTCACCAATGGGTCTTTCCTAACCCATTTGGTTCCCAGTTCCCATCAAATCCACATCATACATCGATCCATACTAAAAGATTTTCAGGTGTACACGAAATTATCATGATACCAATTGCACAATTGGTTAATATAAGGTGAAAAATGAGTTCTTGATGATATGCAAACTTCAATCAGAACCTGGAGATTAAACTAGAAAATGAAAATGTACTCTAACACAAAATTTGATCAATTTTAGATCAATAATATGAGAAACAGAGTATTAGCAATGGACTAAAAGTCTAAAACCATTTATACAAACTATAATATGTTTGTACCTTCTAGCATTAAAGCAGAGAAATTTATGAGAGTGAGATCCAATGAACAAATAAATGTCTGTGCCTTTAAACACAAGCAATGGTGAGGCATCAACACAAGATTCCATGTAAACTTTCCAAAAGTCTTTCATGTGACCTCTACTACCTCTTGGAACATTTGCAGACCAAGTTGTTTGGTGCATATCAGTTACTGCCGGCTGCCCTTTATGCAACACCTTGTTGCATCGGCTAACTGAGAATGATAATAGTGAAGGGGAATGCCATGGGAATGATACATCATCCCATGATACAACATCTTCAGAACCCTTCTTTAAGCGTTTAGAAGGAAAAGAATTGTCTTCATTATCTTTCAAAATCATCTTTGATTCAAGAGGACTAGTATTTTCAGCATGATTGATACAAATATCATCTTGTCTGTTTGTTTTCATTTGAAAACAAATATCCAACCTGTTATGCAAAGAGCATGATCCTCTTTTCTGGAGAAGAGCCATGCAAAGCTTAAAAGGACTTGGATAGTAGTAAAGAAATCTCAAGTCAATCCCCAAACTGTAAGCAACATGTGCAGCAGAAAGAGAGTTACCTCCCATCGTAAAGAAATCATCATCATTGGAAACCTTTTGAACCACTAAAGCATCGTGAAAGACCTGTTAAAGCAATTATCAAATCAAAATCCTTAATTCTTCAGAAAAGACTTCAGTAGTAAGAAATAATAATTGACTGAATTTCCAGAAGGAAACATAACTTTAGTGGACTAAAAAATTTATTGAATAAATAGTTAGGAGTCAACAAGTTACATGCATAGAAATACATAAACGGAATATATAGAAGCGGCAAATGTCTCTAATAAACTCTAATTTTATTAGAAAATAAAGGGGTGAAGAATCCTCCAAAACAAGAAAATGAACATGGAAACATGAGGAATCCTCCAAAACAAAAAAGCCACAATGAAAAAAGAAGTCATAGATGTGTATTTAACAAAATGAAAATGCTTGAAAAAGAAAACTGAACAAGCTGACTTATAAAATAGTCCTTCTGAGATGAATATTGTCAAGAAAGCTGATGTGGACAAAGCACAAACCCATCATACCTTGTGCTAACAAACCAATTAAGAACAGGACAGCAAGGTTTGAACTCAACCACTGGGTCTATAACCCTAAAGCTCCCTTTTTTTTGTGGTGGCAGGTTGAAAAAAAAAATGCCCGGACATTTTTTTTGTTTCTAACAGTAATAATGTCAGTTCATAGTCATACTCAACCAAATTAAACTACTGCAACAAGAGAGCTGCTATCAACATTCACTAATATATTGCCATCCATTCTCTCTTTCTGTACAGCAACAGTAAGCTTGCAATTGCAGGTTTTATATTTTCAAGTTTTGTAGAATCACTAACAGACTGATAAAAAGATTATGAAAATTGAGGCAAAAACTTGTAGGAGACAAACTGTTGTAATTAGAGGAAAATCTTCATAATTAAATAAAATATTTGTAGAATCTTCTAGTTTATTTTTCAGAATATATTTTTCCTTATTTCGTTATTTTGGAAGATTAGATTGTTACAAATAGGTATAAGGAAAATGTAATACGCATGAATGATAATAATAAAATCATTCTCCTTTTCAAGTTGGTATCAGAGCTCCCGATCTTGGGAGCTTCGTTTCCGCTGCAACAGTAGCTATTGCCGCAGCTGTCCAGCCACTGCGGCTACCGCCATAGCCGTTGGGGGCGTTGATAGGGCAGAAAGGTGCGCCCAACTCCGGCGAACACAATGCCGCAATTCGCTTCGGGAAATACGCCGCCATGCGCCGCCAACGTTGCCGGCGCGTGTAGCCCACGCGCCTAGCTCCAGCGAGACCCACTCGTCACCGCCATCACAGAAAGAGTCGTCGGAGCCTCTTGAGTCCGTTCCATGGGTCGGTGACGTCCCATTTGGCCTAGATTTGAGTAGATCTGAGTTGAGTTCTGCTCTTTTTTCCAGTGTAGCCCACACGTCGTCGTCGTCTCGGATAAGGTCACCAGATTGTGTTCCAAAGGATGTCTGAGGTAAAAATCATTCCTTTGGGTCCTAATGATCTTCCAAATGTGGTGGGTGTCTATCAGCTGGATGGTCAGAATTTCTTACAATGGAGTCAGTATATTCGAAAGATTCTCAAGGGACGTTCAAGACTAGATCACATAGATGGTGGAGGGCCAGGACCAGACAACTCCAATTTTCCAATTTGGGACAATGAAGATTCACTAATTATGACATGGATGTGGCATTCCACGATTCCTAAGATAAGTCGAAATTATATGTTTCATTCTTCTGCCAAAGAGATATGGGATGATTTACAGAGTACTTTTTCATTAAAAAAGGATTTTGCTGCATGCTATGACATTGAAAGCAGGATATTTAATACAAAACAGAGTTCTCTTTCCGTATCAGAATATCATGAAATCTTGAATGGACTTTGAATTGAATTAGATCAGTACCAAACAATAAAGATGTGTAAAACAGATGCTGCCGCACATGCTGAAGCCGTGGAAAGAGGAAGAATCTTTAAATTTCTCCATGGCCTGAATCATGAGTACGACCCAATCAGGGTACAAATCTTAGGAAGAGAAAAATTACCATCCCTATCAAAAGTATTTTTTATGGTAAGAGGAGAAGAAACTCGGAGAGCTGTCATGCTTGATGGGGGGATCTCCAACACAGGCTCTGCCATGACAATTGGAAAGGGGGTCCACAAGGGAGCAAATGCCGGAGGAAAGTCGTTTGAAAAAGATAATCATGGAGACTATTGTTCATACTGTAGAAGATCTAGACATACCAAGGAAACATGCTTCAAACTCCATGGAAGAAATAATGTTCTCGAGCGCATGGGAAATAACAAAGGGTTTGCTCAAAGATGGGCAAATCATACTACCTCAAAACAGGAAGCCACCAATCTATCCAGTACTTCACCACCACCAAATCTAGATATGAAAGCTTATAAGGAGGAACTCGAGCGCTTGAAAGCAATGGTTGAATCAATGAGTAAGCCCTCTGGATCATGTATTCTGTCCATGAAAGGTACCCTCTCAATACTATTGGTCTTGTGTCTCAAGGTATTTGGATTCTTGATTCAGGAGCAACTGATCATATGACACCTTTTCGTGTGTTCTTCAACTCATATGTTAAAAGAAATATAGAACAACTTATTACAATTGCGAATGGTTAGGGTGTACCTATATGCGGCTCTGGAAATATAATTTTGGAATCATCTATTGTATTAAAGGATGTTTTACATGTTCCACAATTAGCCAATAGTCTTATCTCTGTGAAAAAACTCACAAAGGATTTAAATTGTTTAGTAACATTTTTCTCAACTTATTGTGGTTTTCAGGACCTTGCCATGGGGAAGACGATTTTAACTGCTAAGGAGCAGAATGGGTTGTATCTGTTGGAGTCTGATGACCAAAACAAAACAAAAATCATGAGTCAACAAGCTACATCTGAGACGTGGGCAAATTCCCAAATATGGCTACATCATAAAAGGCTTGGGCATCCTTCATTCAACCTTATCAAGTCCTTATTTCCTCATTTGTTTACCAAAGAGTCTGTTGAGTCCTTTAATTGTGATATTTGTCAATTGTCAAAACATCATCGTGCATCTTATCCTATTAGTAATAAAAAGAGTACTTCTCTATTTGATTTAATTCACTCTGACGTTTGGGAACCTGTTGTAGAATCTATTTCTGGAGCCAAATGGTTCGTTACCTTTATTGACAATTGCACCCGTGTCACGTGGACATACCTTATGAAAAATAAATCAGAAGTTTTCCAAATCTTTGTTAATTTTTTCTATCTTGTTCAAAATCAATTTGGAAAAAATATCAAAAGAATCAGGTCTGACAATGGTACTGAATATGTGAATCATGAATTTCTCAATTTTTTGTCTCATAATGGTATTGTTCATGAACTAACATGTGTAAACACCCTTCAACAAAACAGGGTTGCAGAAAGAAAGAATCGTCATCTTCTTAAAGTAACTAGAGCTCTTCTTTTTCAAATGTCTGTTCCAAAAAATTATTGGGGAGAAGCTGTGTCAACTGCCACATATCTCATCAACAGGTTACCCACCCGTATCTTAAATGGCATTAGTCCTATAGAGTCTCTATTATCTTTTGTTCCTTCTTCCCCCCTAATATCGAGTCTACCTAGTCGAGTCTTTGGATGTACTGTTTTTGTTCACTCTCTTCATCCTAATCGTAGTAAATTAGATCCCAAAGCTCTTAAATGTGTCTTTATTGGGTATCCTTCTAATAAAAAAGGGTACAAATGTTATCATCCTCAGAGTCGTCGCGTCTTTATCATCATGAATGTCACCTTTCATGAAACACAATCCTTTTATGCCAGCCCACCACTTCAGGGAGAGAAAGCACTTGAAGTGGAGGAGCTTTCCTTCTTGTCATTATCATATTTGTCTTTGCAGGATGCCCAAGATCAAAGCAATGAAGCTACCATGGACCACAGTGAGGAAGAAGCGGAAGAAGAGGAAGAAGACATTTTTTGGCAGAAAATATGAAAGAAGAAAACAACCCACTTTGACTCTCGAGCAAGAAAAATGGTCTAATCCAGAGGTGAGGATCCCTGAAGATAGCAGTGAGGAGGTAAGTATTACTGAGGATTTACCCATTGCATTGAGAAAGGAAAGAAGATCATGTGCTAAATATCCTATTTCTCGGTATGTTTGCACTAACCATAGTAGTCAATCCCGGATAGCGGCGCGGAGCGGCCGACCCTAAAACTGGGATAGCGGGATGACGCGAAGCGGGATAACCGCTATTTAAATATTAATTTATTTATATTAAATAATTAATAATATATATATAAAAGCTAAAAAAACAAAAAAAAATAACTCTAAATTCATGCATTAAACATTTTTAATAATTAAAAGTTCATAGTACTCAAACAATACATAATATAAAATGTCTCCAAAACAAAGTGTTAAAGCTCTAAGTAAGTAAAAAATTAAACATTATAGTTTAATCTTCTTCCTCATCAAGATTAAAGTCTTCCTCTCCCTCAAATTCATCACTCCCACTAGCATTAGAATTATATTCTTCTTCTTCCTCTACATCATCATCCTCGTCTTCTAGTACTTCCATCACTTTTTTTCCTTTATCTTTCTTGGATGTAGATGCAATTGTTGATGTCTTGTTCACTTGTGTTTGTCTCCTAGTGTATTTCAAAGGTTCACCGGCACCACTTGCTTGGGCAACATCTCTCCAAGTCAAAACATCATCA